ATAGTGTGAGCTTCCTATTTGATCTTTATTGATTATGTGCATATGCGTTCCTTCATATCCATATGTATGCACATCTTGAGGGGGAGCTTATTCTATATTTTGTTTATTATAAGATTTCTATCTTGATTTGAAATCATTTTTCATCTCATCTCTCTATATTGTTTATATCGGGTTATTATCCATCACCAAAGAGAGAAAAGATTGAAAGATCTTGGATTAAACAATTTGTGTAATTGTTACTTTGGTGATAGATGATAAACCGATGTTTATGGGATTAACCCCTCTTTTGCATAAGTTGTCTACTAGGTTATTTCCCGATAATGAGATGTGGAAGACATGCATTCTTTTGTGATGGACCTTAATCATGACAAGGATGAAATGCATGGAGATAAAACGATATGTACCACTTCTTATCTCCTACTTTTTGATAGGTTCATATATATGATTTCCATGTTATTGATATATAAGTGTGAGACTAATGTTTACTCGAATGTTATCTTATTTAGTCTCATTTACATTGAGAACATGGAGATCATGAAGGTATATGTTTTATGTTGGTCTATATCATTACTACATATGCCTTCTCTATATGTATAGGATAAACCCCCATTGGTCATTCTCTAATTATGCATACACTTGCATCTCTTGTATATTTATTTGTATGCATATATTTAGGGGGAGCAAATCCTATACATTTATTGTGCATGTTCTAGATCCATGTTGTTCACCTATTATTTATATCGGATCTTTGTACTTGAGCTTGCATACGAGTATATGACACTTGTGATGTTAATGAATACTCAATAAACATATCCATATCTTTCATATGCAACCGGTTGGTCATCAAGGGAAGGATGACAACCGATTTGTTGAGACTAATGTTCTCCTTTGAGGTGTGAAAAGGAATAGGTCCCACTACGATGAGGCTAATGAATGACACCATGGGTTAGTGGTCACCAAGCCAAGGACATCGTCATGTTGGCAAGAATGAAGTCAAGCTTGTGATGAGAATAAAGTCTAGACAAAGGATGGACAAGACCTCGGCATAAACATGGTTCAACCGGATGGTCACAAGTGTTGATCTCGACTCAAGCTTGACCCCAAGATGGATGGCGCAAGGCAAAGGTATAATGTAGCTAAGAATGTTTTCTTAGTCTTTTCCCGGTCTTGGTGTTTGGTGTAGACCGGATTTGCTAGATAGGCGCCGTACTATCAAGAGGGGTCTATGAAGCGAGCTTGTGGATGATCTTGTGCCATATTAGTTCATATGCATGTAGGTGCATTTTGTGGACCTGTCTAACCAAGTGTGATGATTTTTCTCAAGTCCTAAACCAAGAGAGAAGTGGGCATGTCCAATAGGAGTGAGTGACATCTTGTGGGTATGTCCGGTGGATATCCTTTGGAGTGTAAGCCCTTTATCCTTGACTTAAGTTGTGTTTCTTGGATGGTTTTTTCATGGGTTGGATGGCCCTTTGAATAAGCTTTCCATAGAGTCCAAGAACGCCAAATTCCGAGACCCGAGTCAAGAGATATCGCCGTTTTACTAATGGTCGGTTGAGCTGAAAAGTGACCTGCGGTCTGACCGTGGGCCTTAGGTCGGTCTGACCGGGTCTGTTAGCCGGTCTGACCGGCGTGGTAAGGCCGGTCTGACCAGCCCCACTGGTCTGTTGCACTGGTCTGGTTTTTGGTGGCGATACAGAGCCGCCAGAGCCGCAACCGGTCAGACCGAGCCGACGGCGGTCTGACCGAGCCGTGGACGGTCTGACCGGCCACTACACCCCGGTCAGACCGGCCAGGTTGAGTGGGCTCAATGATTGTGTAACGGCTAGTTTTCTAGCCGTTACAAAGTAGTCCGGTCTGACCGGCCTCACAACGGCGGTCTGACCGACAGAGCACAAAGTTGGGGATTTCGGTTCCAACGGCTAGTTTTGGTGGTTGGGGGTATATATACCCACTCCCCAGCAGCAAGGGTAAGGTTTTGGCACTCCATTGCATTATCTTGAACCTTTGCAAGAGCTCTCACACCCTTGTGCACTTAGTTTATCTAGTGAGGTGTTAGAGAGTGAGTTAAGCCAATACAAGTGCATTGCTTCATTGTTATAGCTAGTGTGGCACTTCATCATCCTCGGCAAGCATCCTAGACTTGTTACTCTTGGAGGTTGCCGCCTCCTAGATGGCTTGTGGAGGTGTTGCCCGGTGACCTCTCCGAGGAGATTGTGGAGGAGGCCCGGCACCGTTTGTGAGTGGTTTGGAGTTCACCACCTTCGCAGTGAAGGAAGAACTACCCCGAGTGATCGAGGCTTGGGTAGTCCTCTCCGTGGGCCGGCTCCCGCCTTGCCTACCCCTTGACGAAGGGGGCGTGCGGTGGCTTCGTGGTTGAGCGGTGGAGTTGGGCTCGCCTCAACGGGGATTAGGAAACCAGCGAGTTTCCGAACCTCGGTGAAAAATTTCTTGTCTCTTGTCTCATTTATTTGTTGCATTTATATTTGTGCTATTTACATTCATAGAGACATATTTGAGCCCATATCACTTAGGGTTGCAAAACTTAACTTAGTTGCTTAGTTAACCTTGCACCTCACCTTGCCTAGCAACTTAGGTTAGTTTTGTTTAAGTGCCATTAAGTTTTAAAACCGCCTATTCACGCCCCCTCTAGTCGGCCTCCTTAATCCTACAAGTGGTATTAGAGCTTGGTCTCTCATTTTGTGGACTTAACCGTTCCGAGAGAAAAGGATGGCTTCTAGAGATATAGTACACACGGTTGGTGACCCTCCTATGTTTGATGGCACAAATTATGCACAATGGAAAATCCACATGTTTTCTTATTTTAAGGCCATGAGCCCAAAAATATGGTGGATTGTAGATGTGGGCTTTTCTCATGCTTTGGATGACCGTGCTCCAACAAGTGGGCAAGAGAAATGCCTACATCTCGATGCTCAAGCTACTAATGCTTTATTTTGTGCTTTGAGTGATGACATGTTTAATGAAGTATGCAATCTCAAGAGTGCACATGCTATGTGGGTAAAGCTTAAAGAAAAATATGAAGTGCCCACACTTGTTGAGAATGGTTGCACACAAGAATGGATGTCGGGTGAAGACTCCATCTCCTCAAGTGATGATGAGGAGCTCCCAACACCATCCACATCACCTCATTGCTTAATGACAAATGGTAAGAATGAGGTAAAGAATGATTCTCTCGATAGTATTATTGAAAATACTTGTGTTGTTGATGATGATGGTGATGATGATGAACCTTCATATGATGATCTTTTTGACATGCTTAGGGAGGCTAGTAAATACATTGCCAAAGAGAAGAAGAAAAATCAAATTTTAGAGAAAACTCTTCTCTCTTTGAAAGACTCAAATATGGAGCTAATAAATTCTTATAAGGAACTTTGTGATTCTTATAAGACGATAAAGGAAGCTTATGAGTCTCTTCTCATTGGCAATGCATTTAGTAAGCCAAAGGTGGACATAGGCATCACATGTAATTTAATTGATGATGATATGCCATGTGTAGCTAGCTCATGTAGTACATCTAAGGTTAGGGTTTCTCACGTGATGCAATACCTCCGCCGGTCATACCCCTCACGAATATATAGGATCCATCACTCGGGCCTCCAAGGCCCGTAGGACTCCTATTCGGATCCCTATCCGAATTAAGATCATATTGGATCTCTATCCAATCCCCTTATTCCGGCCCATTAAGCGTGCGACCCTGTAGGTTCATATATACTCGGCTGTAACCCGAAAACTCCTTTTCGGTCCATGCATCAATAGCGGCTCCTAGCAAAACGTATTGACACACCGGGCATACATAAAGATCATATCGGCTGAACCTCTATTGTATACTTGTATGAACCCTTTTGCCTCACGTTATCTATTAAGCTCAAGGCTAGATATGTGCCATCCTCTAATAGCTCAATCATTCACTCGAACCTGTTGATAGATTATATAACTTGTGATTGACTCCTCAATCACCTTTGGCTTGGCCATGCACTTCCATAATCTACAACATCGAGGGGCCCAGAGATATCTGTCCATAGGAGGGGCAAATCCCATCTTGATTATTCATATCTCACTACATGTTTCATAGCATACCCGAAAACTACTTTTATAGCTACCCATTTACGGAGTAGCGTTTAGCAGTCCCTAAGTAAGCTGCTACACATATTGAGAACCATGATAATCTCAGGTCTAAGGATTCAACACCAACACTAAATGAGATCACTGATGACACAACACATATGGCTCTTGCAGTGTCTCATGTTGGGTCTATCCAATAACATGTTCACCAACATGTGTCCACATTTTTAATTTAGTATCTCTATACCATGATCCATGAGACATGATCATCAATTAATACATGTGCTGATCATATAAACATATTTGTTCCACATATGATATTTTATCAGGGATCTTTTAGAAATAGTAACAAACAAAATAAAGAGTCTCATGAAAGAATCACATATTCATTAACTAATAAGGAGTTATCTATTTCAAGGAACAATGTCGGATAAATATGTAAACATAGTATGTGATACAATCATCTCTATGATTGCCTCTAGGGCATATCACTAACACGATCTACCCAATTATATAAAGTGCAAGCATGCTGCATGGCAGGTTCTACTAATCACTAGAAAAATTCGAGTGCCTATTGACACGCTTAGTAATTTAACCCATATATAATTTTCCTAATGGCACATGCGAATACTATTTAGAGGTTTTTTGTTTTCATAAATATATACTTTAATCTATACTAATATAAAAATAAAAAGGAGTAGTTTTACCTCCCAATCCTAGTGATGAAATCATCCTAACTCATCGCCTCGTCCATCCGCGTCGCACTAATCTCATCGGTCCATCCGCCCATAGCATCACACCCGTCCCTACCGCCGATCCACCCCATCCTCTCCACCGCATTTCAGCCCGCCCTACCGCCATCGCGCGATGAATCCTCCCCCGACTCTGCCACCGCGCGATGGAACACTCCCCCCCCCCCCCCCCCCCCCCCCCCCGCGGCTGTCGCAATCTCTCCTCCTCGCTCCGTGCGATTCCCCGCCGCCGCCGCAGTCCACTACCGGACCAGCGCCCTCGTTGCCGCTCCTCCTCTCTCCGCACCTCCTCACGTGTCCCCGCCCGCCGCCGCACTCCACCGCAGCCTGCCCTCGCCGGCGCCGTGGTGGTTCCCCCTTCCGCCGGACTAGCTCCTAGGACTGCTCCCGAAGAAGCCAAGGTTGTTCCCCGCCGCCGCCGCCGCACTCCACTACGGCCTACCCCCATCGCCACCGAGGTGGTTTCCCCCTTCCTCCGAAGCCTCGCCCGGGACTGCCCCCGACGACGCCGGGGTGGTATGCCCTTTCTCTAGACCCGTTGCGCCACACGCCGTGCTTGTCTGCGAGTTTCCTCCCCGCTGGGGAGATGGAGGCCACGGCAGAGGCGCCTAATTGAGAGGAGTTTATAACATCTTGATTGGTGTAGTAAGTGCTTGATGGAATCCCCCTGTGAGCAAATTTGTTTGTTTTGTACCAGAGTGCTATCATGTAATTAAAATAGGGATTTCTATATATGCATTGCTCTTTGGATTTACTAGGGATGGCAGCACCTCTTGCCACAAGGTTTGGAGGAGAACAGCAAGCAGATGCACCAAAGGGGGCTCAAATCTGAGGAATGATGCGACAAAAATGAGCTTGCTGGACAAGAATCCTGGTAGGATATGACATGAGTTCATAAAGCTAATCGCTACTGCAACCATCTCTGGTGAGTTTTTTTTTCTTGTTTTCAGAAATATCACATAGGAAATGGACGAGATGAGCACTTGTATCTGCAGATGCTTAGGCGAAGTTTGGATTCCATTCAAAGGAAATGGTATTTAACTTCACAATCTTATATATTAACTTCTGTTGTATGAATTGTACATGCACTAAATAGCATATTAATATGTTCTCTTATGTGTGCTTCCAAAGTTTGAGAAATTGCACAATTTTTTAAATACCTGCAGGATGCCATGATCCAAGTATACATTTATTTTTCTACACATGTTGATATTTCGTAGGTAAATCTGGATCAGTTTATTGTGTTTGTTTTTCTAAAAACATCAGGAAATCATGATGATCACAGTGACAATAGCATCACACAACTCTATAGCAAATGTTGATATTGATTTTTTTTCCCTGTTGACACTCAGGAGATCCATGATGATCACAGAAATAGACACCGACAGTGCAACACTTTAGCCCCAATTTTATGTTTTGTTATATTTTCCAGTTTGCTTTTGTATTGGTTACCTTTGTGGTTCATATGGAATCTGACAGTTATTTGCACTACGGAGATATGATTCATCTAAATTCAGCCTCTATAATTCTTAGCCACTTATACTCCTATCTACATTCAGTGCTTATTTTAAGCATTGAAGCTTGAGCGATTGATTAATTCCATAGAAGTATGTTTGTTCCCAATCTTCTTAGCTATACATCTGAGTTTGCTGGGAAGTCTTAGCTTACTGCTTTTTTAGAACTAAAGTGGAACAAGACATTTTACTCAAAGTAACCATTTTTTTTCTGTTCATGAATGGCTTGACAAAATGTTCATAAGGTTCCATCGTAAATTCTGAGTATATATGTTATAACTTGATTGGAAGGCCCTACGCGTCGGGTGTCCGATGCTTGGGGGAAAAATTGGGCGCTGACGTCAGCGCCCGATTTACGTGCAAAAACTACTTTAAACTGATTTTTCTCTTAAATTACTTATCCAAATTATGATCCGATTGCACCATTAAATTCGTTGCAATTAAATCGTCAAAACAAGACCACACATGGATATATTCTGACGATTTTTTTAGCTTATTATTGAATTATTTTTAAATGTTGCACGATGTTCCATCGGGTATATCGGAATTGTTTCACTAAGTAGATCGAAAATGTTTCACTCGTTTAAATCGGGTGTTGTTTCACCTTATATAAAAAATGTTTCAGCAAATAGCGAAACAATGTTTCAGTTCACTGCAACATTTGATCCATACATAGTGAAACATTATAAGTACACTAGGTGAAACATTTTTCAGTGGAACAAAAAATAAAACGAATACCCTTAATAGGGGTTTCCAAAATATGTTGGTTTTTTTTTTGCAATGGAGTATTTCAGTTCACTGCAACATTAGATTTATACATAGTGAAACATTGTGAGTACACTAGGTGAAACATTTTTGGTGGAACAAAAAATAAACCGGATTCCCTTAATAGGGGGTTTCCAAAATATGTGATTTTTTTGTTGCAATAGAGCATATGGTGAAGATATGTGGCAAGTAGTAGGGACACATGGTGGTGTCCCAGTAAAAGCACATGGACACGTTGTGGGGGGGGGGGGGGGGAGCGCCCGATTTTCTCCCCCTCCCCCGGGCGACTGAGCGGCAGCATTTTCCAACTTGATTTGGTATCTTCTAATAATAATTCCTCCTTACCTCAAGTCCGCCAATCCGTCTCCACACTGTAACCCAGATATGTTCATTTACATGTGTGCACTGACTTTATTTTTTTCCCTGGTCTTGCTTGCAGCAAAAAAAAATTATTATGCTCATTGGATCATTTTTAGGCGTACTGATCATACTAATCCAGATTAGTACAGGTGTATAACATCTTGCTGTTAAGGTATTCTTGATGCTCATTGATTACATGGAAAGTTGATGCTTTCAAATTGATATGAGTTTGATTATGTCAGTTTACATTCTTAGTGAAGTAATTTATAATTGACTCATAGCACTAATAAGTAGTCTGCATCTTATGTTTCCTGTGAACTTCTCTCTGCACTCACTTAATTCAAAGTTCTCTGCACTCACTTAATTGAATGTTGGGACTTGGGATTATAAGCTCTGTTCTAATATGCCTTCTCACCTATACAAAATTTCAACAAACTCCCAACCTGTTATTCATCCGGTCCTTAACCTCGACCAGGAATTATTATTCACATTGGTTTTCATCTTTTAAGATCATGGTTGATAAAAGTTTCCTATGGTCATATATCTTATATTAAAATTTCAAGTCTCTGATAATTTATTCGAGGGTTCATAAAAGCCAAGCTGATTAAAGAAAATGTTTGGTAAGAACTACACATTTTGATTTTATTTGCTGAGTTACATAAAACTGATGAAGTGATACTGAATTTGACAAGGTGCAAACCTACAATTATTTTCTTGTTTAGTAAATCATAAGTACATATATTTGTGACATTCTCAAGAACTGGAGTGCGCTTCAGGATTTGTTAGCGGCAACAATAAGATACTTTTACAGGACACTGAATTTGACAAGGTGAAAGACCATAATGATCTAATCTGATTTTCTTTTCCTTGTGTTTATGTAAAAAATCCTACATAACCCAGTACGATCAAATGGTTAACAGATTTAATCTCTGTATGTTCTATATCTTAGTGCTAGAGATACATTCCTGTTATTACAGTAATGAGGTGCTTTTAGTTCACAGATCTAGCTAGGGGTCTCACATGTTCAGAATAGAGTTATGGAGATATTTTCTGGTTGCAGATTGCTAAGGCGAGGGGATCGTTCTATAATAGCATTTTTTTAAGAAGGAAAGTTATTTTGTAACTATCATCAAATGAGAATGGAAATAAACTGACAATTTGATATGTTTCTATTTGCAATAATATAAGTTGATATGTTTCTATTTGCAATAATATATGTTACGAAACGTGCCATGCACTTGCATGTTCACTAATATTCATAAATGTATATAAACATTGTACTCACTCCGTTTACAACCTTCAGGTTGTAAGACGTTTTGACTTTGGTCAAAGTCAAACTACTTCAATTTTAACTAAGTTTATGCACAAATATTGTAATATTTATAATACCGAGTTAGTTTTATTAAATCAATAATTGAATATATTATCATAATAAATTCGTGTTGAGTTGAAAATAATATTTTTTCTATAAACTTAGTCAAACTTGAAGCAGTTTGAATTTGACCATGAAACGGAGGGAGTACATTTAAAAGTATACTTTGATTTTTTTTCAGTTTTATATTTGTATACTACTGAGAAAAAAAAATCAAAATATGATAGTAATATGTGCTATAAAAATACCGGTGAAGATGGTATTATAAGGATATAAAAGTGTATTTCGTAAATATTTTATCTTACTTTCATAAATATAGAGGTATTGAATATAAGCTATTCGAATTTGTAAAATTAGGAGAAATATTTGTTTTTTCATTTTTTATACTCCATCTTTTTTTAATAGATGACTGTCGACGGTGGATACCCGTAGACCGGATATGGAGGGTATTGGGGTACACTGGTACGAGGATCTACGTAGTACGACATCAAGCAAACAGAAAACATAGATTATACTGGTTTAGGCCCCTCGATAGGTAATAGCCATAGTCCAGTTGGTATGGGATTATATGATGAGAACCACAGATTACAAAGGGAATAGCAAAACTCGATGATACTGACGAGACCGTAGTGGAGTTGGTTCGACTAGATCACTCGACGACTTGGCTCCTGTAGGTTCCCGACGACTTGGCTCCTGTAGGTTCCGACTTCGTAGGCTGTGGTGGTTGTGTTGGCGATAAGATTCGATGCCTTAGGTCCCCCTGGGGGGTCCCTTTTATACCGCAGGTCAGTTGATCTCCAAGTAGAACTCGGGGACATCAGACCCTACACGATGCAGTGACGACCCAGTTCTATCCGAGTAGGACTCCTTCCGTCTGTGGACTCCGTGATGGATTTCCTTTTCATGTACAGAAAGCGTCCGTATACAGCAGGTATACCATATCAGTACACGACGTATATCCAAGGGTAGAGGGTATACCTTATCCGTGACCCTGACAGTAGCTTCCGACTTCGACTTAAATGAACTCATGTAACCGATCGCGACTTCGATATCGGGGTTGTTGTCATTCTCGACTGGTCGATCTCGGTATGAAAACCGTAGAGGCAAAGAGTAATCGACTACACCATGTGGAGTTCAACGGTCATGAGTGAATTTAAATTGAAGTCCGAAAACTGCTGCGCGTAACGGACCCAGAAATTTCCGGCGGTCATATATCTCCCTTCCTTTGAATTCGCACCGTCGGTAGTGCGTCTATTTAAGGAAGTTTTGGGGATCCATTTTGAAGTCCGCTTAGTGCAAAGAAAACTTTCCAGCCTCCAAGCGCTCCTCGTCTTCTCCGCTCCCGCAAAAACCCTAGCTTGCTCATCTCAGTCCCTTCTCCAGCGATCTCCGGCGGCAATGGATCTCGACAAGTCCACTTCCACCAGCGCGTCCCTGATGAAGTTGCAGGAGGACGGTGCTCTCCCTGGCCGTGGGACCATGGAGAGAGAACTAGGAGGTATTGAACCCGAACCCGTCCTGGGCCGCATGGTTGCGGTTGAGGATTATATTCTTTGTGGTTTTCTTCTTCCGCCTTCCGAGTTTCTTCTCATTGTCTTAAACTTGTACAGTCTTTCTTTGCTCCATTTGAACCCCAATTCTATTGCCTTCCTCAGTATCTTTTCCTATCTTTGCGAGGCCTACATTGGGGTAGAGCCGTTTCTTGATCTCTTTCGCTTCTACTACGAGTTGCGCTAGATGGAACCTAAAAAGGTATCCGGATGTGTCGGTTTCCGGCTTCGGGATGGCCTGAAGTCGCGATACATCCCCTTCCAGTGCCCCTCTTCTCGTAGCAAATGGCGGGCGAGGTGGTTCTATCTTCAGATTGAAAACTCGGATCCAGTCTTTGTTTTCCCTAAGGAGCAACCAGACAAGATTTCCGAATGGACCGCCAAACCCGCCCTAACCCCTTCCCTTCAGTCTTTCATCGATGTCATCGATGACCTCCGAGTACAAGGGTTATCGGGGTATGAAGTCGTTGCCGACTTCATCGGCCCTTCCCTTCAGTCTTTCATCGATGTCATCGATGACCTCCGAGTACAAGGGTTATCGGGGTATGAAGTCGTTGCCGACTTCATCGGTAGGCGGATTTAGCCGGTCCAGGCCCGAGCCCACCTAGCCTTTGTCTATTCTGGGCCGGAGGACGCGACCCGGGTTACTCCTCAGGGTATTTTTCTTGTTTTTTGGAATATATTCTTTATTTGCATGTTCCTCCTGACTTATCGAGTTCTACTCCTCGATCTTACAGGTTTAAACAGCGAAACCGTGGAGCGCCGCGTCGGTCATGGGATGATCAGCGGCCCTACGACGGCGAGCAACGTCCCCGTCCCTCTTTGCGAGAAGGGGAAGGCTGATCGCGAGGCTGTGATCAACGTGAGTGTATTTGAGAACTCCTTTACTTCTGCTTTTCTGGATCATACTGTGACTTCATGCATGCAGGCTCTCCCTCTGACTGATGTCATTGGGCCGCTCGTGGACCACCAGGCAGCGGCCTCGTTGAAAGAGGGCGTCGCCAAGGAGGCATCCGACATTGCTGCTATTGCTGCTGCTGCTACAACGAGTGGCCGCAACATTCCGAAGAGGGGGAGGAAGTTCTCCTCCGTGCTCGGGAATCGTCGGAAGGCGCCTACCCCATCGGTGAGCTTTTCTGGTCCTTTATGGCGTACTCGGAAGATCTTGACCTCACACCATGCTCATTTTACTTAGGCATCGGACGCGTCTCCCCCGCCTCAGCGATTGCAAAGGCTGGTGACGCTTGGCGAGATGTAAGTGGATGAATTTGAGGTCTCTTAATTCACATAATTTTGGTATCCCGTCTTCATGGAAGTCACGGAAATCCTTCACAGGGTGGCGCGGGCGTAGGCGACGCAAGACGGGTCTGGAGGAAACTCCAGTGCGTCTCCTGCAGCGGCTTCGACAGATGTCGTGGTCGTGCCCAGGAGCCGTGAGGCGACACCCAGCGGCCCTGCCGGCGGCCTTGTGCCTGCTCGAGGCCCGCCTGCTGACGTCCTCACCTGGGGGGAGCTCCAAATCGAGATGGAGCGCATCCTCTAGTCTGGTGCTCGCGGCATAGGTCGCGAGATTGAGGAGGCGAAGGTGGCGGCGGCGGCGTCCGCGAACGAACGCGCCGACAAACTGGCGCGTGACCTGGCGGAGGTCCGGGAGGACCTCCAGAAGATGAGAGAGCTGGTGGCCGGCAACGAGAGGCAGCAGCAGGGGCTCGAGCACCGCATGTCAGAGCTCGAGAACAACTTGTCGGAGATCCGCGGCTCGCTGCAGGTCACCTACACCGGTCTGCACCAGTTCACCGGGGAGTGCGGCGTCACGACCACCATCCCGGCGAACCCTGATGACTTCTCGTTGACGTCCTCACTCGTGGAATTGGCCACGGCGATGGAGGAGATTCCTTCCAAGCATGCGGCCAAGATTAGGGAGGAGACGTCCAACGGGATATATACCGGGGCGTGCCACGTCCTCGCGTGCGTAAGATTGGCGCACCCTGAACTCGACTTCTAGAGGATCTTGGATCAGGGGGCTGCTAGTGACGCGCGCAAGGGCGTGATGGAAGAAGTCGGTGACTTGGGGGAGTCTGTTCTCCCCCTCTTTGAAGAGTAGGATTTCAGTTCCCCTGTACTCCGTAGTCAATTATGCTTGTAAAACTTTTGTTGGTTCAAACTGCCTTTGTGTATGCAATCATCTCCTTCGTTTTCTTTAGCATATTGATCCTGAGTACTTTGTTGTCGTTGTAGAGATGTTGACGTCGAGGATGTCCAGCAGCGCGGGCAGCCTGAGTCTCTGGTAGTCGTTCCGGCACTTGCGCTTGAGCCATACGTGCCATGGGACGATGTTGATCAAAACCTGACCGTGGAGGCGGGCATGGCTGTTTACACGGATTTTCGCTCGTGTCCTAAATATAATTTGTTAAATTATAAACTGATGAATTATCTCAAATATAGTGCGTACAAAATATATATAATAATCAATAAGAATTTTATCGGGAGACAGATGGTGAAGTAATTTAATTAAATAGCGGCTAGGAAATAAATGGCCATGAAATAAAATATAATTCACTTATATTTGACAAAAATAATTTTTGGCTTAAAATAGGAATGCATATGCGCATTCCACGTAGCGTGAACAAATATTTTCCATGCGCTTTTCGTCGGACCGGCGAACGCTAATACTTAGCTTTCTCGCTGTATCCGCATATGAAATTTGGCCTGAAACATATGGCCATGAAGTGGGATTTTCTCACTGACCCGAAATAGTCATGGCCCGAATATTTTCAGAAAAGGCGTGCCCACCATATAAAATAGCATACAAAAATTAAAATGTAAGCCAAAATAGATGTTTATCTGGCTAGTGAAAAATCGTGCTTCAAATTGTCGCGACTTAAAATAAAAATGCATGCCACGTGCACGCTGCTATAATGGCGCGGACACATATACACGCGCATGCCAAACTAAAGAGGGTCGCATTCGCCATTAGTCTAGCATTTTTATCTCGATAGCTAGACGTGGGCTGGAGGAAGCCACCGTGATAATATGCACGTCAGGACGTGACGCGTGTCGCATAAAATAAATTTACGGCAGTAACAATCCGCTCGATAAAAATGGTGACTAAAATATATACGCGTCTCTTTAAAAAGAACTCATACGCAAAGCGTGTATTAAAGTAAATAAATAAATAATTTGAGATGCCCTATTAAACAGAGATATCAAGGAATCCAAAAATGATTGTTTTCCATGGATTAAAAAAATAGCCCAGGCATGATGCAGAAGAGAATCCACCACCAGTTTGAAACCAAAAGAAAGAGACACATGTCAGTGAAAGCAAAGGAAAACGTGGTCAAGCCCCACGATCACCACTAACCATGCATGCATTCGGCAAATAACAACATGTTCGTCCCAATAAACTGAAAAGGCCCACATGTCATCCAAATAAAGGAAGCTTCCTGCAGTACTCAAACAGTTAATACATTGCCCCACGATGACCACTAACCATGCATGCACTCAGCAAATAACTGAAAGGGCCCACATGTCATCCAAATAAAGGAAGCTTCCTGTAGTAATCAGTTAGTTAACCCATTGTCTCACGATTAGTTGATCTGCATGCTCCATTCAAATGTTTTCAAATGCTAAGGGCGCGCGCGGCTGCTTGAAAATGGCAGGGATCCTCCTCTATAAATAGATGGAGTGGGGCCAGCAGGGAGAAGAAGAGTTCGCTGGGGGGAGTGGTGTGAGGGCTGGCCAAGGCGAGAGGCTACTGCGCTGCATCGCTGCTAGTTCGCTACTGCAAAGCAATTGCCACCGTGCTGGTTTCTCGCTCTGCTATGCCGGAAGAATCAGAGGTGTTCCAAGGTGGGAATCATGCTCCTTCTTCGTTCTTAGGCTCGGCCATTGTGTACGAGTCGAAAAATCTCTTAGTTCATCGTCCTCTACTCATGTTAATGGATTCTTTTGCTGTGTCCTTCGGTTCGGCCAATGAGTATGAACCAAGGAATTATGTTCTTGCCATGTTCCTAGGCTTGGCCATCATGAGTACAAGCCAAAGGAATTTTTCCTCTTTGTTGTGTCCTTCGTCTCAGCCAGCGCGTATGAGATAAGGGAGTTCGTTTCATTTGATGGCTTTTAACGTGATTTCACACTTTTTCCTATGGTCCGGACAGACGAGTACGGGCCTAGGAGTGGTTTCCATGCAAACTCTTTTCATGTCATCCTACCATACCCTCTGATTTGGTCCCGTTAGCGGATACAAGCCCAGGCGAGATTCTCGCTCTCAGGTTCGGTCCTCTACGAGCGGATACAAATCACAGATACAAACATTAATTTTGCATAATTCACCATAAATTAAACAAGCACTTGCTTCGGTCACGCTTCTTGGCTTCGAGCCGTGCTAGTAGTGATACAGGCATAGTGATAAACAAAATTAATTGAGCATACTAATTAGCACACACATTTGCTAGTTTTGACATATGTTCAGCCATATTTCTCTAACAAGAATTAAAATAAAATGGCGTTCATTTTCTTTCCGTGGTCAGAGATAGGAAATAGATGTACGCATGCATATATTCTCTTTCTATCTGGTCATCTACAAAATGATGGATAAATCGTGAACTACGCCGAGTCATGACAGTCGGCCATAAAATTAACCAACACTTGCTTCGGTTATGCTTCACGGCTTCGAGCCATGCTAGTAGTAATACAAGTGGAGTGAAAATTATAATCTCAAAACCATCCGCATACATATATTTGCTTAAAACAGTGTATACTCGCTGCACCATATATAAAGTGCAGTATAAAAAATAATCTGATATACGCACATGCATGCATCTATATACTCTGGCCGTGCATTTGCTATCACGTATAGTTTCTTCCCAATAGCAAATTAATACATATATGCATAGCAAGCGACAACATCATGATAATCGACCATAAATCAAACAAATGCCCACTTCGATTACACTTCAGTGCCATGCTAGTAGTAATACAGGTGGGGTAGAAATTAAAATAGGCAATGCAAATTCGCCGTACCAAAATCCCATGCCGCGTCGATAATATTGGCGCTAAAGTAAATACTCGCCTGGCTATGCCCTGCGAGTGCTCAAGAAAATTCAGCAACTTATATATGTGCACTACATATAAAAAAAATAAAGTCACAATGCTAAAAAGAGGAAGCTATGTATAAATTTGCTACCATACACGCAGTGATATTAAAAACCAACAAATTAGTGGGCATCTAAAATACGCCCAAAATGAAATAAACATATAAATGGAAATCTACAGAAGATTCTACGGCTGCGACATCTGGAGCTTTAGGATAGATTTTCCTTTTTAGCCTTTTAGCGGTCATGTAATTTTATTTTCTTTCTTGTTGGAATTCCTAATCAGGGGTTTTCTCTACGGAGATGTAATTAACAGAATTTCTATGTAAATGTATGAATTCTAGAAGTAATGGACTCGCAATTTCTGATTTTTATTTATTTATTGCATTTAAATTAAATTGTCTCTAACGATTCGCTGATAATGGACCTACTACTACTATTACGACTGTCCCGGTTTTCCCGTCGTCAGATTCTGGCATGCCCAGTGGGACAGACTTCTCCCCTCATCTCTGAGTTCCCAACATGTAGACTACGAATATGCAAAAAAAAAAACGGAGATAAATGCACATATCCTTAGTGGAAAAATTCACGTACTCAAGTGCTTCATCCAAAGCGCTCTATGAAATTAATATATGCATGCTATGGTCTTACAGGACCAGATGAAATGTCTGTTTATATATATGGTTGAGAAAACTAACATATGGTTTTCTTTATTTTGCAAGGATGTCTGAACAAGTTCAACCATTCGTCATGCTGCGCTTTGGCTCACTGTGGGTGGACGTTCCCATAGGTCGCCAACAGAATTCCAGGTCGCCAACAGTGGCAGCTCCCTTCAAACCACTGCATCGCCGGCTCCGGCGGACTATGAACAGGAAGTGAGCTCGGCGCCACAGGGCGGGTTCATTCCCGTTCTGTCCAAAGCTGCCAAGAGGAGGAGGAGGGCAGCAGCTAAGGCAAGACAGGCTGCCTCACAAGAGCACGTCATCAAAGTGCGTGAGGCCACTTCCAACGACTCGATGCCTCCTAGGTTTACCAGGGCTGCACCAGCCATGACCAGGGCGGCACCCTTCAAGACCAGGAGCTACGAAGCATATCCAAGGTTCCGTCGCACAACACTCGGCGAGTGGCCTGTTCGTGAGATACGGACGGGTCCATCCAAGGCAGCGCCGCGTCGCCGAGTGTCCCCTGAGCCAAAAGGGATTGCTTATTCTACGCCAAAGAAGAGTGCACTGGGGGCTAATGCATCCCCGGCCTGCGTGGCGGGGTCTTCATCGACTCCTGTGGCAGTGCCACTCAACATTGCCCCTGAGATGCTAGGGGTAGTGTCTCCCAAGAATTCCCTAAGCATATTAGGGGCTGCACCTTCAATGTCCACAGCAGCGGCACCATCATCTGCATCAACAGGTGGCGCGCTGAACCGCCCTCACCGCCTGCACCCACTTGATAAAGGGAAGGTTGTGATGGAGGATGAAACGCACCATGAGCTGCCCTCAAGCAAGAAGAAGGGTGTAGTGGTTCTGCAAAGTGTCCCTACACAACAGCAAAGCTCGTCGCCGTCATCAAGCAAGCTCCGAGCTGATGCCCCAGAGTTCATCCCATCATCAATCAAAAAATCAAGGGCATCCCGGTGCAAGGCAAAGAAGAAGCGTACGCTCCAATGGGAAGGAGTGTACGTTTCACTTGGTGACGTCAGGATGGGTCATGTCGACCCAACCGTGGTGCCTTCTGACACGGTATCGACTGGTACTCCCACTCAATGTCCTTCCATGCAAGGATCTTTTTCACCATCCAAGAACCGATGTCGGCGATGCAATGCTCATCGCACTTGGGTTGACTTCCTAGTTGCAACTGAAGCCAGGGAGAGAAGGCGTCAGCGTTAGAAAGTGTACAATGACATGATGAACAAAAGGATCAGAGAAAGCCGCAGAGGTCAAGCTGAAAGGTTTGAAGATTGGGCTACATTTATGGAAGCAACCATCTGCTATACCATGAAAGAAATGTTGCTGGGCGTTTCGACGTCCGACAATGGCATGGGCGGCGCCATCATGAGGCGCGCCGAGGCACTGGCCAGATGGCCAGAGTATCAAAGGCTTGTTGATCAAGAGTTGTGGCG